CCCCGTTCAGTCAAGCGACGGCTCGTTCGAATATAGTCCCCATATTTGCCGAGGCCTCGCGCCCGCGGCTTTCCGATGCTCCAACCCAGCGCACGTCTCCCCCTCCCCCCTTTGGTGCAGCCCGCGTGCACGTCGCTCGTCACGGATCCGAACCGTTGTCGCCTACCGAATCGAATGAGCGTCCGAGTGCACTGCGTCTTCGGTCTGTCTGTAAACCAGCGCCAGCTCGCTCCGCCCAACTCAGCCAGGTCGGCTGTCAAGAGGCTCCGGTTGGCTTCAGCTAACCGTTGTATACTGGTAGAAGGCACTAGTTCGAGGATAATTGAAGCTCAGCAACGAATCTGATACGATACGACGCATCACTCTCAAACTGAAGTGAGTCGTTATCGGGCTGTTACCGACGAGAGCGGTACGTAATGAGACTTTCCGGTGGCAAACTCTGAGATATCTGCACACGCCTCGGCCATTGGCGGACCTCGTCAGTGAGTGGCGCTGAGTGGGCGCGCAGTAGTTACAGTATAAACCCTTCGGGCATACAAATTACGAACGGGTCGGTCACGTGTGTGTGCGCCCGTGTTACCCACGTTGAAGCGCAAGTGGATAGAAGATAAGTATCACCCCGTTTGTGTTGGTACCGATCTGTTGGACTTTTACTGTTCGTTTGTGACGACACTTTCGCAGATTGGCATGTGAATGTAGTCTACCTAGAACGTTCATATAGATCGATACAGGTTTGTCAAAACAGTTTGTACTAACAGCAAGAAGAGCAGCAAAATACTGTGCAGTTGCAGCCCAGTCGGCCGCCTTATGCCGTCGTCAACGGAGCAGTGCAGCCACTACGCTCGGTACTGACGGCTGCGTCGATGGTCAGTGAGGGACTGCTGCACGCTGTTACATGTATTAGTAGTTGAGGTCCACCCGGTTCCGTCCGAATCTTATGCATGCACGGTAGATCCACGTGCCAACATCGCTAGCTTACGGCGCTCTTGGATGGAAAAGCAAAAAGCAACGTCTATTGACAACGTAGCAATTCAAAAGTCTGTGCAGAAGTGTAAGTAAGGCACGGCGAGGGCGAAGTCACCGTAGCTCCAGTAGTGTCATGTACCTCAACCCCGAGGCCAAGCTAGGCGGATTCGCGACGACACCGCCAGCAACACTCAGCGGGCATGCAGCAAGTTAGCAGGGCTGCGGCAAGTTGCCCGGCGAACGTGGCTGCGACTCACGACGCGGCGAACGCGGCTGCGACTTACGAGGCGAAGACGGTCGCGAGTGGCGAGGCGAGCGCGGCTCGGAGTTGCGAGGCCGACGGCCCGGTTCAACCGTAGCCCATCCGTAGCTTTCATGGTCGCGGTCGTCGTGGTGACCGTGCCACGCCGGTGCCGCCGTCGGACTGGCGGGGTGGCCCCAGTGGCGAGGAGCACGCGGAGGCGCGGTGGTCCTCCATTCGTAGTCCTCGTAGTCGCGACCATCGTGGTATCCATAGTCATGAACATCGTGGTGACCGCGTCTCGCAGGCGCGAACATCGGGCTCGACGGGTGGCCCCAGTGGCGAGGCGAACGTGGAGGTGTGGTGGGACTCCATCGGTCGCTCTCGTAGTCGCGGCCGTCATGGCGCCCCCGCCCCGCAGGCGTCACAACGGAGAGATGGTCGCCGTGGTTCGGCGAACGAGGTCGCTGAGGGGAACCGTGTTGCGGTGAACGCGGCGTCGGGCTGCGTCGGTTCGTCTCATGGTCACCGCCATGGTCATGGCCACGGTCACCACCGTGGCGGGACTCGTGTCCGTTCCCCCTCTGCGGCTCGGCCTTGGGCGACGACGGGTGCCGCGCGTGTTGGAGCGGCGATTGAGGGCGAGGCGAGGTGGGCCCTCCAGCAGGAGCCGGAATGGCAGGCACTTGCTCGGATATCTGCACTCGCAAATTGCGGACGGCCGACTTGGACTCCGTTTCAACCGACGCATCGGTCGCGGAGGCAACGCCAAGAAAAGTAGCGACGGCCAGGGTTGTCAGGAGCTTCATGGTGGAGGCGGTGGCTGCTGCGTAGAGCGAGTGGTGGGTACTTGGGTCGGGGTCGAACCGAGTTGGTAAATTGAAGAATGAAGAGAGAGAGGACCGCCGATCGATCGGCTTCGTTTGGTACGATAGCAGTTTTGTCGTCGTCTTTGAATGATGAAGCGGTACACGTGTTTTCGCCCGTAAACTTTCGCCCGTTGCAAGCGTGGCGTCCGGGCCATGTTGGCGCGAACACTAGCGGCAGTTGGAGCGGTTAAAAGTGATAGAAGCGGTGTGACCCCCGTTCAGTCAAGCGACGGCTCGTTCGAATATAGTCCCCATATTTGCCGAGGCCTCGCGCCCGCGGCTTTCCGATGCTCCAACCCAGCGCACGTCTCCCCCTCCCCCCTTTGGTGCAGCCCGCGTGCACGTCGCTCGTCACGGATCCGAACCGTTGTCGCCTACCGAATCGAATGAGCGTCCGAGTGCACTGCGTCTTCGGTCTGTCTGTAAACCAGCGCCAGCTCGCTCCGCCCAACTCAGCCAGGTCGGCTGTCAAGAGGCTCCGGTTGGCTTCAGCTAACCGTTGTATACTGGTAGAAGGCACTAGTTCGAGGATAATTGAAGCTCAGCAACGAATCTGATACGATACGACGCATCACTCTCAAACTGAAGTGAGTCGTTATCGGGCTGTTACCGACGAGAGCGGTACGTAATGAGACTTTCCGGTGGCAAACTCTGAGATATCTGCACACGCCTCGGCCATTGGCGGACCTCGTCAGTGAGCGGCGCTGAGTGGGCGCGCAGTAGTTACAGTATAAACCCTTCGGGCATACAAATTACGAACGGGTCGGTCACGTGTGTGTGCGCCCGTGTTACCCACGTTGAAGCGCAAGTGGATAGAAGATAAGTATCACCCCGTTTGTGTTGGTACCGATCTGTTGGACTTTTACTGTTCGTTTGTGACGACACTTTCGCAGATTGGCATGTGAATGTAGTCTACCTAGAACGTTCATATAGATCGATACAGGTTTGTCAAAACAGTTTGTACTAACAGCAAGAAGAGCAGCAAAATACTGTGCAGTTGCAGCCCAGTCGGCCGCCTTATGCCGTCGTCAACGGAGCAGTGCAGCCACTACGCTCGGTACTGACGGCTGCGTCGATGGTCAGTGAGGGACTGCTGCACGCTGTTACATGTATTAGTAGTTGAGGTCCACCCGGTTCCGTCCGAATCTTATGCATGCACGGTAGATCCACGTGCCAACATCGCTAGCTTACGGCGCTCTTGGATGGAAAAGCAAAAAGCAACGTCTATTGACAACGTAGCAATTCAAAAGTCTGTGCAGAAGTGTAAGTAAGGCACGGCGAGGGCGAAGTCACCGTAGCTCCAGTAGTGTCATGTACCTCAACCCCGAGGCCAAGCTAGGCGGATTCGCGACGACACCGCCAGCAACACTCAGCGGGCATGCAGCAAGTTAGCAGGGCTGCGGCAAGTTGCCCGGCGAACGTGGCTGCGACTCACGACGCGGCGAACGCGGCTGCGACTTACGAGGCGAAGACGGTCGCGAGTGGCGAGGCGAGCGCGGCTCGGAGTTGCGAGGCCGACGGCCCGGTTCAACCGTAGCCCATCCGTAGCTTTCATGGTCGCGGTCGTCGTGGTGACCGTGCCACGCCGGTGCCGCCGTCGGACTGGCGGGGTGGCCCCAGTGGCGAGGAGCACGCGGAGGCGCGGTGGTCCTCCATTCGTAGTCCTCGTAGTCGCGACCATCGTGGTATCCATATCCGTAGCTTTCATGGTCGCGGTCGTCGTGGTGACCGTGCCACGCCGGTGCCGCCGTCGGACTGGCGGGGTGGCCCCAGTGGCGAGGAGCACGCGGAGGCGCGGTGGTCCTCCATTCGTAGTCCTCGTAGTCGCGACCATCGTGGTATCCATAGTCATGAACATCGTGGTGACCGCGTCTCGCAGGCGCGAACATCGGGCTCGACGGGTGGCCCCAGTGGCGAGGCGAACGTGGAGGTGTGGTGGGACTCCATCGGTCGCTCTCGTAGTCGCGGCCGTCATGGCGCCCCCGCCCCGCAGGCGTCACAACGGAGAGATGGTCGCCGTGGTTCGGCGAACGAGGTCGCTGAGGGGAACCGTGTTGCGGTGAACGCGGCGTCGGGCTGCGTCGGTTCGTCTCATGGTCACCGCCATGGTCATGGCCACGGTCACCACCGTGGCGGGACTCGTGTCCGTTCCCCCTCTGCGGCTCGGCCTTGGGCGACGACGGGTGCCGCGCGTGTTGGAGCGGCGATTGAGGGCGAGGCGAGGTGGGCCCTCCAGCAGGAGCCGGAATGGCAGGCACTTGCTCGGATATCTGCACTCGCAAATTGCGGACGGCCGACTTGGACTCCGTTTCAACCAACGCATCGGTCGCGGAGGCAACGCCAAGAAAAGTAGCGACGGCCAGGGTTGTCAGGAGCTTCATGGTGGAGGCGGTGGCTGCTGCGTAGAGCGAGTGGTGGGTACTTGGGTCGGGGTCGAACCGAGTTGGTAAATTGAAGAATGAAGAGAGAGAGGACCGCCGATCGATCGGCTTCGTTTGGTACGATAGCAGTTTTGTCGTCGTCTTTGAATGATGAAGCGGTACACGTGTTTTCGCCCGTAAACTTTCGCCCGTTGCAAGCGTGGCGTCCGGGCCATGTTGGCGCGAACACTAGCGGCAGTTGGAGCGGTTAAAAGTGATAGAAGCGGTGTGACCCCCGTTCAGTCAAGCGACGGCTCGTTCGAATATAGTCCCCATATTTGCCGAGGCCTCGCGCCCGCGGCTTTCCGATGCTCCAACCCAGCGCACGTCTCCCCCTCCCCCCTTTGGTGCAGCCCGCGTGCAGGGGCTGTCGCTAGCTGTACTTCGTCGAGCCGTGTTGATCGCTTTGAGGGCAAGCACGGGACAGATGACCGGGTCTCCAGACGCGTGCATCGTGCGCCATGCACCGCGCCCAAACTGGTCGTTCTTCGCTCCTTCCAAACCGATGGTGACTGCGGTAGCGCGAGATTCACTGACTGGTCTTCCTTCGGCATTGGAGAAGAAGACATCTTGATGCTTGAGGCAGTAAAAATGCCGCTGCTGTCCGATTCGCAGATACGACCTCCGAAGTAGGAAGAAGATGCCAATTAGCACGCTGCCCCAGGAGTTGTTGGTGCGGCTGATGTAGGTCGAGG